GTGTAGAGGTGTGGTTTACATTCGAGAATAATGAAAAACTGAAATGATTACAAGACAATTACCTAACCAAAGAGCTCAAGTATTCAAATTAAAAACAGGGTCAGCAAAGAGCCTTGAACAGAATACTGCTTCACAGTTAATCAGAGCAATCGGTTCTACTTCCTGCAATATATAATGCTGATTTCATTGCAGTGAATTTATTTCATTTTAGGATTTATTTTACACTGGCATCAAGTGCCAGACGACTGTGTCCTCACCGCATGTAATATTCACACTGGAAGATTGTGACAAGATAATTACAATAAGGTCATTTAAAACTTCTGACAGTGGATTATCAAGAAATTCCATGACCAGTATATATTACAGTACAACCTCAGTTCAAGTACAGGTTCCAAAATACGTTACCGCAAATTCTTTCCTGGTCTACACAGATTATCAAATGCTTGTGTGTTGAATTGCCTCCTTTTTAACCCTTTGACTGGGGTATGGTTAGCTGCATACACTTATTTCAGCCTATTTTTGTGTAAGCATGTCCCTTAGGTATTCTATCAGAAAGACATTGTAAAAATAAAAGAAATCATTGCAAACTTTCATGCCAGAAGGGCTCACTGCATAAATGTTCTAAGCATAAAAGTTGGCAGAGAAGTCTCTGAAAATAAAGACCCAATTTTGTGCGTGATTTACATCATTTATGGGAGTCAAAGGGTTAATAGACAAGATATTATAATATTCCCAATCTTTATGGGTAACTATTAAACTGTAAATTAACCCAAACAGTTTACCTGCTAATAAAGCAATTAATCAAAAATCTAAGATTTTAAAAGGTGGCAAAATGTTGAAATAGGTATTAAATCTAACAGCTTTCATATAAAATATCTCTCATATAATTGTACTTATATTGGCACATTAATGGTTCAAAGAAAGTATCACTGATTTCAAATCCATAATGCCTGCTGTGTTGCACAATTTTCCTCCAAAACAGCAGGTACTTAAATTTCTGTTAAATAAGTAAGTACTCCGTTGACCTTCCAACTGTTATGTAACCAGAATAGTTGACGTTTATTCCCAAAAATGTACAGTTCAACTTGTAATGTTAATTTGTATGAATAGCAGGATCTATTATTTAAATCTAGGACAATTTAATGTTTTATAAAATGAAGGTCATATCATATATCAACCCAATAATGTTGCCTATGGATGCAGTTGAACATATTTTAAATAATAACATGAATTCTCTTATTTTGTTTTAGCAATGTTAGTTATTGTCTTCTTGTGGTTTTCAAATCATTCATTCAAATTGTTGGCTCATCTGCCTAGAAATTCGATCACACCCATAAACTGTTGCATTGGGGTCTATTATGCCAGTCCAAGTGACACGAGGACGCTGTTAACTTTGTGCAGGCAGTGGCAGGGTGAAATTGTGCATTTAATGCTATTTAAAGGCAGCTAACTGCCCCTAAAGGAAAATGCACTCTGTGAACACATGGCTGAGAAGCTCTAAGTGTGGTTAAAGGCTGCAACAAGCACTTGGAGGATCTGGTCGTAGCAGTGGACAGGGAAAGGGGGAACTACTCTTCCACAGGACAGAAAACCCGTAAGGTATCACTCCTACTACCAGTCAGAAGAGGCCAATGTGGAACTCAATGTCAGAAGCTTCCAGAATGCAACTGCAAAAATGGTTAAAATTTAATGATCTCACTAGAATTGTTCAGGTAACCATGTTACCTTTAACAACAATTACTTCCTCCTCAAAACTGTAGTTTTTTGTGCAAAAGTACAAACTATTTGACCATGAGAGGGAGATCCTGAAAACAGCTCATAAGGCTATTACACGTACTTACATCTAACAGGAGAAGGTCACACAGGAGGAAGACTGTAGTGACCAGAGAAGGCTGAACATGCCTGAAAGCCATGTCTTGTAGTGGTTTCTTACTTTAGACAGTGATAATAGAGGAAATGTTGCATAAGGTTTCTTCAAAACTCACCAGTTTTTGCTTTTTTTCCTTAATTCTATTTCACCCTGCACATTCTCCAATGAACATTTCAGCTGCTTCCAGCAGCCAGTCATCCCTCTTTCAGATGCTGAAAGTGTTGAGAGTCCTGTGTCATTCAGAAACAAAGTGCCAGTGTTCTCAAAGGTGCAACATCTTACCCTCTCAAGTACCAGCTGAGAGAGAGGCACCATGCATACCTTAATCAAAGGTGTAGTCTTCAAATGATGCAATCCTGGTCACAATCTACAGGACCTACAGAAGAAGGATAGGAGGCTGCAGATGCCTGTGGTGACTGAGTGTGAGACCACACACTAACTCTCTTTAGAGGATTCGAAACTGATTTTAAGGACCTCGTCTACCAAAGAAGGATGATGGGCATACACAAAGAATGGAAGGTGTACTGGACAGTCTGCCACTAACCATCTCAACAGCTCAGAATATGTGTCTTTGTATGTGAATGGAGACCATTCTGTCCAACATGTAGAAATGGTTCGCTGCATAAAGGTGACAGTGCCACCCACCAGCTTCTGCTTACGGATAATAATCTCAATGGATTTCCCATCACTGCCTGAGGGAATGCGGTGATAGAATGATTAACGGGAAACTGGGAGTTTTCATTTAAGATATGGGCTACAGTGACAGTAATAGCTAAAGGCAGTGCCATACATGTCCTTGTTTGAGGTTCCAGCTGTGATTGCAGCATAGACTCCTTATCTAACTATTAGAGTGAGCCCAAACTCAATACAGAATGAGTAGAGCCATGCCACCTGCCATATGGAAACTTTGGTGCCAATGTTACACTTATTAAATGAGGGCAGCGTGATCCAACTTCTAGGCCATCAGCTCTTCTTCATTAAGGTGCTGCTTAATGACTGAAGGAGCTTACAAAGAACATATTACACTTACTGTAATAAATGTGAATTGGGAGAGTATACTCTAAGGGCTTTTTCAATGCACAAATGCATACAAGGGGATACCTATCTAAATATCAGTATCCTTTATTGCTCCATTTTCTGCTTTACAACTTAACAGATCTGAGTTTTTGCATCAAATGCATCTCTCCTCACATTATGAAATTCCAGTTTAATGAATAATATCAGGATCCAACACTGAAATCGGTGCGACATTTAATAGATACTTTGCCTCAGTTTTCACTGAAGGGGCTTACGAAAAACATCAAAAAAAGAATAAGGAATATGTCTTTCAGCCTTTCAAGACGGCTCAACCATTCACCAGAGATGATTCTTTAAATCACAATTCCACCTTCCTACACTATAATATCTGCATATCCCTTACTATTTTATAATACAGTATCTGGTTTGCACTGACGCTTATCATCCACATAAATCTTCTCTTAGTTTTAATTACACAGTCTCTGCTCCCAAATCCTTGATTCCCTTCTTCCTCATGTATGCATCAAACAATCCCTATACACATCAATACCATCTGCTTCAATCACTCCATATGGCAGCAAGTTTGACAATCTATAACCATTTTCTGTGGAAAGAAAATCCTCCTACATTCTTCCATTGATCTGCTTGTGCCTATCTTGTGTACATGTTTCCAATTATTGATTCACCCACAATGGAAACAATTTCTCCACATCCATGCTCTTGAACTGTTTCCAAATGCTAAAGATATCAGGTCTCCTTTTAGGCTTTTCATTCCAAAGAAAATAACCCAATCTACTCTGTCTTTCCTAATAACTGGCTCTCTCAAATGTTGGCAACGTCCTTGTGAATCTTTGCTGCTATGCTTCAATGTCGTTTTGTAGTCTGAAGATTTGTTTATTTGTCTGTTAGGGCTAATACTGTGGACTGCCAAAAACACCAGCCACTATGATGTCCATATATGGAATTGTGGGTAGAATGACTTAAAATGTTGAGGGTGAGTGAGCGACCTTCCTCAGAGATTCTGCAACAAACAGTATCTATCGTCTTAATGTAACCTTTAACTAGATGCTAACATGCAACAAACTATATCGTGTTAAGAACATAAATAGGAGTAGCAGTGACCATTTAGCCCTTGAGCCTGTGCCCCCATTCAACAAAATCATGGCTGATCTTCCACCGGCTTCAACTCCTCTTTCGTGTTAGCTCATCATAGTTCTCAACTCCCTGACATTTTAAAAATCTATTGCCTAGCAGACACTCTTCTACATAGACCAGGAAGTGGTTTTCTTCTATCACACTAGATCAAGCAGGTTCTGTAGCTTCCTACATGTAAAGAGGATGGTGGCAGTAGCATGAGCAGCAACGCATACTGCACATTATGAGTTAGCATGCCCAGGTAACAAAAACCAGAATTTAAGAAGGACAGAGCTCCAAATCCAGGTAGACCGCACCTCCAGTTGTCCAAATAAACTAGGGAGAAAATAGTGGAGACATGAGTATTGATATATAAAATTCAATAGAACAGAACATCCTAGAGGACTGCAGACAGCAAAATGTAACACTAGCTTCAAAAAAAAAGTAGGTAAAACTAAATTAAGGAAAAATAGACAAGCCAGTGCAAGGCAAGATATTGAAATTTTTGCTTAAAAACAAATATAAGAACATAAGAAAAATTGCCAGAATGGATTTATTCTAAAAAGCTCAACAGAAGTTGATTTGATTACAAGATGGTGAAGTCCCATCCAAAGTATCTGCGGATATTCACATTTGAAAAGCATGAAATGGAGCAACAAGTGGTAACTGAGTGACACCAATAAAAGCTTCCGGTAACCTCCTCCAGAACATTTACGATTATGGGGCATTTCCTCAAAATTCCTCCTTAAGCACCAATAACATCATTCAAGTAATTTTCTTGCCCAAAACTTTCAGTTTAAATATTTGTAGAGACATACATTCTAAAAATACCTGAGGGACATGGGAAGCCCATTCTGTACCACAGTAGCATTTAGACAAATGTCATCGCTTTGTGCCCATTAAAGTTTTATTACTAAAATAAGTACAACTAACTGTCATGCAACATGCAATTTCACAGCAAATATGGCTAATAACTTACAAAACTGTGAGATGGGAGCATCCAACTGGGGCACATTTCCTCCTTTGGCATTAAGTTTTTGGACTTGAGTCGGAGGAATGGGTTTGTGAGATTGACCAGTCGCACGGTACATTGCCTGAACCCAAAGGATACGATCCTGTTCGTCATCGCTGGCAAAGATCACAGTGTCTCCTTCTTTAACTGCATTAAAGAATGCCCTGCCTCCCTCCAAACCTGGATGGTAGATTATTTAACAACTATGAGAAGAATACACAATGGCATTTCTACATTGACACCATACAACAGATGTACAATTGAAAAGGTGCAGGAACTGGGTTTACATGGCTGGTACCATTTGAGACTCCTGCCCCAAACTGACATTTGGTCATACACAAAAGTTAAATAGTTATGACAACACTCCTTTTCAAAACTTTGAGATACTATTTAAAATCTAGAAATGGCAACATCACAGAATCCAACGTGTAAAATGCACTGAAATATATAGACAATTCTCCATGTTGCAGATTATAAAAATTTGTGTGACACATGCAATAGATATTATTGCATTTTTAACAGAAGTTAAGCTTGAAACACCTTGTTTAACATATTAAATATCAAGAAGTCTATGCTATCATTGCAATCATTTAATTTTTATACTAATATCTGATTTCTAACCACAATAAATATTTCCTTCTTCCTCAGATTCTGAATAACATGTTTGAAATTAAATCTCTGACCTTTAACGTTAGCATGGGCTGAACAGTTTGGCATCAATGGATGTTTAAAAGGGAACTCCATCTAGTTTTACCATTGGGACTTGCAGAATCTTGCTCTCAGAATCATTTGTCAAGTGGTTTCTACCATATGAAATGTGACACCCTACCCAGCAGGCCACTCCATTCCATTCTTATCCTGGAGTCTGCATAAGGATGCTATTGTACCAGTGATTGTATACATTTTAATAATTTGCTATTTAATATTACGTAAGATTGCAGATCTTTGAAATGAAACAACAAATCAATAAGGATGTGATGGAGAAGTCAGAGGCCAGGAAACAGGGAGAATTTGGGATAGGAATAGGGAAAAGAAAACTCAGCAGAGTTGTTTTGAGGGCAGGTGCAGGTGCAAGTATACAGGGGCAATACGGCTGAAAGGGAAATGGCAAATAGCACAGAGCCTGTACTGACATATTAAATAGCACCTTTCTACCTACTCTGGGCAGGAGTGCAATCCACCCATCTACAGGGCTGCCTAAAAGTATATTTAGGAAAAAAAAGTAGGTGGCACCATTTTCATTAGATTTTTATTAACGAGTTTTACGAAAGATCAAAAAATCAATTCTTTGTCCATTATCCATTTACTTGTCAATTTACAATTACTGTATTTCTAGGATTTAAAAATAAATCTTAAATTTTGCCCAAATCAGTCAACCATGGCTCAGTTGGTAGCATCCTCACCTCTGAGTCAGAAGGTTGTGGGTCTGTCCCACAAACTAAATTGACACAGCAATGCAGTATGGAAGCAGTGCTGCACTGTCAAAAGTGCTATCTTTAAACTGATGCCTATTTGCCCTCTCAGGTGGGCATAAAAGATCTCATGGCATATTTTTAACAAAAGAAGAGGAATTAGCCCTGGTACCAAGTCAATGTTTATCCCTCAATCAATATTATTGAAACAGATTATCGGGTCATTACTACAATGCTGTTAGTGAGAACATTTTGTGCACAAATTGGTAGCTTGTTTCCGACATCACAATAGCAACAACACTTCAAAAAAACACTGACCAAGCCAGTGAGATTCACATCCCATAAATGAGTACAAAAAAAGAGCTTTAGTGGCTGTAAGGTACTTTAAGATATCTGATGGTCATAAAGGGTTCTGAAAAGATTTACAAGGATATTGTCAGGGTTGAAGGGTTTGAGCTATGGGGAGAAGCTGAACAGCCTCGGCTATTTTCCCTGCAGTGTCAGAGGCTGAGGTGTGACATCATAGAGGTTTATTAAATTCATGAGGGGCGTGGACAGTGTGAATAGCCAGGGTGGTGGTGTCCAAAACTAGAGGGTCATAGGTTTAAGGTGAGAGGGGAAAGATTTAAAAGGCACCCAAGGGGCAACTTTTTCATACAGAGGGTGGTGCATGTATGGAATGAACTGCCAGTGGAAGTGGTGGAGGCTGGTACAATTACAACTTTCAAAAGACATCTGGATGGTTATATGAATATGAAGGGTTTAGAGGGACATGGTCCAAATGCTGGCAAATGGGACTAGATTAATTTAGAATATCTAGTTGGCATGGACAAGTTGGACTGAAAGGTCTGTTTCAGTGTTGTACATCTCTATGGCTCTATAAGTCTTTCTTGCCCAAAACAAAACTACAGGCGACCTGCAGTTAGTTCATTTTGATGCAATTGTGCAATGTACAATGTTAGAACTGAAATTAACCAGGTATGAGTAGCAGTGAGCTTAACCACTCAGCATTGGAAGGTACATGTGAGTGAACTAATTAGTTAAATTATAGATGATAAAGAATGAAACCAGAGCTCAGTATGTTCTACAAGCGTAGCTTTTGTTATCCAGTTTCAATTCGTAGGGTTTCCTCTCATTTTGATTTGCTACCTTCTTGTTACCACAATTTTCTGCTTTTTGCTGTGTCCTGCATCAGACCCTTCGGATGAACACATGAAGTGTCATTACATTCAAAGCAATGGGTGCAGTGTGGGAATGTGGGACTAGTATAGATAGTAGGGTATACAGACTCAGTGGGCTGAAGGGCCTCTTCTGTACTGCGTGATTTTATGATTCTAAGATACCACATGCACATGAACACTTTCTTACTTACCATCACATCAATTCCATGTCAACTTACTTATACCATGGTACCACGAATGCTTCTTAGCTATTAGCATGCACAAGTAGAGACTCCCTGACTAGCTTTTATTCCTCCTACTTATAGTTCGGTTTCTGACATATAGTTTCACCTTTTGTTAGTAACATGGCTTAGACTGCAAATTAAAGCAGCTGATCCTGCCCCGAGCACTACTGGTCTAAGGTGCTGCAATGCAAATACATGCACAGCTGCAACTGAATTAGAATAATCTTCCAAGGTCAGTAGGTGACTCAACAGTTTTGTACTTTCTCACAGGTCAATCACTGACCTTTTTCCAGTACCACTCATTACCTCGATTCCAGAAAGACATCAATTTAATTCTTGAAACAACAATATAATTGAAAAATAAAGATTTTCCGAGAAATTTTTGCATGGTGAGTAAAAAGGTGACAGCTGAAGTGCAATGGCTAAAGCATGGCAAAATGTAACGTTGTTATTACCAAGTGTGATATGCATAGGACCTTTATGGCACTGTCAGTTTATTTCCTATAGTGTTGTATATAGTGAGTGAAGATTGAATATAATTTTGAAAGAATCTTTAAAGGGCATAAGATAATGTCAACAGGATGTGCAGATATCATTCAATCCATAATTTAAAGACATATATTTGCTTCTTAATAGTACAACATGCTTTGGTTTCACATAATTTATTGTTAAATGTTGGAACTGCTCATGATTTAAAAAGCAGAGTGCTGAAATTTACTACAGGCTGAGAGTCAAAATTGAAGGACTAAAGGACAACAACTGGAGGGAGGGATGATGTAATTACACAGTTCACAATTTTACACAATTTTCATTATAAATGTGGGCATGGACATTTGTAATAGAAAACGTTGACATCGAATTATGATAAATATATGATGGCAAGAGAAACAGGAGACAAGAAAGTGTGCGCACATGTAAGAATTGCATATATTACCAATGAAGGAATTATGAGGTGAGAAATGTAATCCTACAAGAATTTACGACCTTTTGTCAGCAATGTTTTAAATGCTGATGGGATCAATGCACCTGGTTTAAAATGTCAATTTTTTACGATTGATGAATTGAATTAGATTTACACTATACTGTGACAATTACAGCTTGCAAGCAGCAGTGATTACGTTCAAAAATGTTCTGAGTTATGACTGAACTCCAACCAATAGTGGATTATAGCTTCTTGCAAAAAATCAGATGTAGTCAAGAGATTGGTTGCAAGGAGGATTTTATATGTAATAATCAAGATAGTAAGACTGAGAGGTAGTTAGAAAAAAAAAAGAATTCTGAAAAGATGGATGACGAAGTCTGATATCTCTGCCACTTAATTTGGAGAGGAAGGGGAAGGCAAAGACACAGAGCTCAAAGTGAAGAATATGAAATAATGTACATTGCTGGAGAAAGTACAAATGCAAAGTGGGACTACATTGTTAACTGTAAATTTTTAATTCAACTCGTTGAGTGATGGAAACACAGAGGGAGGGGTGTTTCCAAAAGCAGGCATGATAGCGTGGACTTCTATTAAGTGGGTTCTACAAAGAGCTATAGTCCATCTTGGCAGGTTATTGCCAGGGCAGAGAAAACAAAAATCACAGTGAGTGGCTGCTGGATGATTGCTTTTACAATTATTGATAAGCCTTTTTTAAATTATGGTTGTGACATGACAAAATAGTCAAGCCATGCCAAAGAAAAGCCACATGCCATCCGACTATTTCATGTTTTATGTTACTGTGCTTTTCCTAGATGTCAGTATTGAATTGAAGCCTTTCACCTGGCTGTGGGTCAGTGTAATCCACTGTGTATCCGTCCAGTTGCAGCAGTTCCTGAGGCTCAGCTTTTTTCTCCCGGTAACTGCACATTGCAAATGTATACTGGCTGACCTGAATAAAGAGAAACAGTTGAATGTAATTCTGGATTGACTTTAAACTTGTGAAACTTCATAACAAAATCTAAACGTTAGCTAAAAGCTTTGTTGTACAAGCCATTGGTCTACTGCCAGCACACGTTGCGAAATACAAAGTGAGCTGGTTGTGATCTTCAAAACAACGGAGATTGGGGAAATTTGCCATTAATGGTGCTGTTACGGAGGGGAGGTCGACTCCCCCCTTTGATAACTGAAACTGAAACATCCAGAGAGGCTCACCTCATCATCTGTTAAAGGAAGTGTGAAAAGTGGTAAAATCTGCCTCTCGCTCCCCTTTCCAATCTGTTATATAGGAGAGGTTAAATGAAATGAACTTCTGACAGTCACTCTATAGTCAACAAGTAACAATTTATTCATCGAACTCTAACTATGAACAAATTAACAGAATTACTAACAAACCGAACAATTCCTACCCCTAACTACTAACTATTCACGAAAAAAACAAAATTTGAATGGTATGCTGTTTCAATAGATACAAGCACCACTTAAATAAACCAAATTAATGATAAAAAAATCAAATCTTAATCTCTTGAAATTATAGCCAGGATGCATCTTCCAGAATGCTCTGCTCCCTCTCCGCTGATCCTCCGCCAGGAATACCTTTCTCCGTCAAATTCTAGAGTCCAAAATGCCTCTATCCATTGAATTCTGATGTCAGGAATATTAGCTAAGAATGCCGCTGTACCTTTAATTAGATGATGGTTTCTTTTCTGAGAGCTGATAGAATTCTGTAAGTGCCAGTGTTTCTCTTTAGAGCTGATAGGTTTTTTTACCTCTCTTAGATGGCAATTGCTCTCACACCAATTTTCACATTTTCACCTCTTCTTTTGTACCCTTGATGATCTATTAATTTCTTACAATAGGATTGGCCCTAGGTTGTCAAAACCATCAGATCCAAATTCAATTGGTTTTTGGTATCTAAGGCCTGGTCTAAATTAATTGGCTAAACTCAAAACCTATTATCTTGGTAAAAACGCTGCTTTGTCTGCTATCAGTATACCCCTTCAATACAAATGTTTTAATTCAAGAACTCTGTGCAGCTGCAGCTGCCTGTGGACATTTTTTTTAATCTTCAAGCCTAAAAAACACACCTTTTAAAGGGACCATGCACTCTTCCCCCTCTATCATTTTACAAACAAATTCTAATGTCTTGCCTTCCAATCACAAGTATAATGCCAACTTCGCAGCAGTGTGTACTTGAAAACTTGTCACTAATTAATCAGTTACTTCCTTAAAGTTGGCTAAAGGATATATCTTAATTGAAGACAGTAATGCAGATAGGGCTTATCAGAGATGAACATGATATCCTATGTATGGATGCAGAAGTTGTGGGCAAGTTTCTTAGTGAGAATTTTGTCTCTGTTTTCACAGAGAGGGATGATGCAGACATCCTTGTTAAAGAGGAGTGTGAAATATTAGATAAAATCAGTATAATGGGAGAGATGTACTAAGGCACAGACCTCCTTAAAGGAGGAAAAATCACCCAGACAAGGTGAATTGTGAGAGGAAGCCCGGTAGGGAAATACTGAATGCTTGAAGGAACAATTTCCAAAGCTTGCTAGATCTAGGCACGGGCCAAAAGAATTCGATGCCCACAAACATTTTTTAAAATTCACTCGAGGAACGTGGGCATTACAGTCTGGGCCAGCATGTATTGCCCGTCCTTCGTTGCCTTTGAGAAGGTGGTAGTGAGCAGCCTTCTTAAACTGCTGCATGTGAAGTAGACAGACCCACAATGTCCTTAGGGAGGGAATTCCAGGATTTTGACCCAGTGACAATGAAGGAATGGTGATATATTTCCAAGTCAGGATGGTGAGTGGTTTGGAGGGGAACTTGCATGTGGATGCCCAATATCTGCTATCCTTGACCTGCGAGATGGAAGTGGTCATGGGTTTGCAAGGTGCTGTTTAAGGATCTTTGGTGAATTTCTGCAGTGCATCTTGTACATAGTACACACTGCTGCTACTGAGTGTCGGTAGTGGAGGGAGTAGATGTTAGTGGATGTGGTGCCAATGAAACAAGCTGCTTTGTCGTGGATGGTATCAAGCTTCTTGAGAGTTGTTGGAACTGAACCCATTCAGGCAAGTAGGGAGTATTCATCGCACTCATGACTTGTGCCTTTTGATGGTGGACAGACTTTGGGGTATCAGGAGGCAAGTTCCTTGCCGCGATATTCCTAGCCTCTGACCTGCTCTTGTAGCCACTGTATGTATATGGTGAATAGTAACGCCCAGGATGTTGATAGTGGAGGATTCAGTGATAGTAGCACCATTGCATTTCAAGGGGTGGTGGTTAGATATTCTCCTGTTGGAGATAGTCATTGCCTGGCATTTGTGTAGCATTAATGTCGCTTGCAACTTGTCAGCCCAAGCCCGGATATTGTCCAGATCTTGTCACGTTTGAACTTGGACTGCATCAGTATCTGAGAAGTTGCAAATGGTGGTGAACATTGTGTAATCGTTGGTGAACACCCCCACTTCTGATCTTATGACGGAGGGAAGGTCATTGATGAAGCAGCTGAAGGTGGTTGGACAGAGGGTACTATCCTGAGGAACTCATGCAAACAACTCACCTCCTGACACCCCAAAGTCTACCCACCACCAAAAGGCACAACTCAGGAGTGTGATGAATATTCCCTACTTGCCTGGATGGGTTCAGTTCCAACAACATTCAAGAAGCTTGACGCCATCCACGACAAAGCAGCTTGTTTGATTGGCACCACATTCACTAACATACAGGATGTCTCTAAACCTCAGGATGGTATCATTAGTACAGCTGAGTGGGCAGAACAGTGGCAAATGGAATTCAATCTAGAGAAGTAGAAGGTTCTGCATTTGAGGAAAGCAAACAAAGCAAGGGAATACACAATAAATAGCAGGATATTGAGATGGGTAGAGGAAGTGAAAGACCTTGGCGTTTATGTCCACTGGGCTCTGAAGATGGCAGGAGACATAGATAAAGTGGTAAAGAAGGGATATGGGTTGCTTTACTTCATTTGGTAGTAAATATAAAAGCAGGAATGTAATGTTGGTAATATATGGGATACTGGTTAGGCCACAGCTGGAGTTCTTTGTATAGTTCACTCTACAGGAAAGACATGACTGGTCTAAGGAGAATACAAAGGAGGTTTGTAAGAATTATGCCAGTGATTGAACATTGCTTCTATGAAGCAAAATGAAGGGCTTGTCCCAAGTCTCTAGGAAGGGAGATCACAGATTTAAAGTAAATGGTAGAAGGATCAGAGGTGAATGAAGAAAAATGTACTCATCTAGACGATAGTGAGTGTCTGCAATTTGCTGCCCAGGTTGATGGCTGAGGCAGTAACTTCAACTTATTTCAAAGGAACCTGGATCGGCACCTGAAGTACTAGAACCTGCAAGGCTATGGACCAAGCACTGCTGAGTAGGATTAGAATGGGCAGCTAGTTTATTCAGACATAATGTGCTGAATGACTTTCTCCTGTGCTGTAACCTTTCTCTGGTTCTAAACTAATCCATAACAAAGAAAATTCCTTTGAAAATCAAGTTTTGAAAGGGAGGGATCATTACAATATTTCTTAACAATGATAATGCTGTATTGTTATTTCAAAAAATTTATGTCTTGCTGGTTGTGGCTCTGCTAGATCAGACATATGATAGTTGTTACCAATTTTACCTGGTTTGTTTGGGAGCATGACATGACCTTGTACAAGAACTTATTTAATTTGTGAAACCTTTTCAAAAGTAAATCTCATGCTTAAGAAAAATGAAGGTATAACAGGCAAAAGGAGGAGGTGGGAGAAATAACTTACAAAAGGCATGAATATAAGAAAACAAATGGTGTCAATCAGAAAGTCAGTTAATATTATTCCTAGAGAATAAGAATTGAAAAAAAATCCTAACAGCCATGATATAAATTCACCTAAATACTAACCACTATCAGGGACTGTACAAATGTAATTCACACAAAATAAATAGGGTGGGGTGCTGCACATCAAAATAAAAACAACATTGAATAAATGCTACATTTCCTGTCTTATTCTGAAATACTGTATAGATTTGTCCATGTTTTGGAAACAATGCAGAGCTGCTCACCTTGTGAATTCATTTCAGGAGCACATTTCTTAGGACCCTGAACCAACCTATGCTATTGTACTAGCCCATAGTTGTACTAATGTTCATGCACCCTATCATTCAAATCAGAAGATGTTAGGACTGACATCCTGTCATAAGCAATGTGAGTTGACTGTCTTGGTGCCAGTCATGTTTAACAATTCTTAAATCTCAGTCATCAGAGCAATTGTTGTCAGAACTGCTGTAAATGGCAGCTCTCACTCCTCTTAGTTTGCTTCTGGATAACATGCTGAATTCAATGTCATGTTCTTGATGCAACTCACTGAGCCGCAGGGTCTCTTTCAGGCTCTGTGAACCTCAATACGCCTTCAGGACACCATCAGATTGCATCAGACCCCAGACAGCATTTGGCAATGAAGTTTTGAATTGTTTGAAAGGAAAAGCTGTTGTAAAGCAAAGGATTCTCCAGGCTTCAGGCTAGGTGCTTACACAGTGTCGACTATTTGAAGCTTTCAAAGATATGGACACTAACTACAAGCCCAAATTAGCTGCTTTGACCTACCTCATTCCATATGAGTGCCGTGTTAAGCTCTACAGTCTTGATGACTACAACTAACTCAGTTAATAATGTTTCAATACTCTAACTGCTTCCCAATCTACATCACTGCTTCTGAATAATCTGTGAATAGCTGAAGCTCTTATTTAGGCATTTTAGCAAAAAGGTACAAACAATTTCTAATGATAGCCCTATATCAGAATTTTGGGGACTTTTTCCTCAAGTTTTAAAAGGACACCTAAACGGGGTCTGCTGGTGCTAGCAGCAATTATCCTGTACATGTCAAATGTCTAATAAATGACCATTGCAATTGTGAATTCTATGAAATTGGCTGAGCATCTGTACGGA